GGCTGCCTGTACGAAGGTTTGTCATATGCTACCTATCTCGTACGTAGGCTTCCTTTATCTCATTGGGATATGTATCTCATACGTAGGGATATTTACCCCATGCATAAGCTTTTTCTATCCCTTAATACGTAGACCAACTGAATCTTGTTATTCATAGGGTTGTTTTATCTCCTATATTCACGGAGGCCTGATATATCTCGACATTTACGTAAACCGTCGCACAGGTTTATTTTATCTCCTTTCAGATAAATAAAATGTTTGACTTGAAAAGTTTATACAAATCCCTGAAAACCGTTGCTTGTCCAGCCAGTTGGCCTGAGTGCAGTCCCCCTTTTAATCCTGTGATGTCTAAAAAATGGACCACGTCTTGTTGAGGTTTATAAACATTTGTTTGCCCCCTGTTGTCCCCGTGCTTTCTGCCAGATGAGCTCACAGTATGGGCGCACGGAATCCTCGCGTGCCACGTGCACTTAAAGACGTATGATACAACAATAACAGAAGTAATTACCGTTATCTATGGATTATCTCACTGAATAGACGTTTTAATGTCATATAAAATGCATAAAAAATCAGTTTCTCCCAAACATGGTCATCATGACCCTTTGGACTGTTTGCCGTTTTCATAACTTAAATAATGTAAAGTGGACAAATTATTTCAAATTAGTACAAAAGCTCAACAGTCTTCGTAATAGATATGATGGGACCTAAACGGAAAAACAACGGTGAGAATTACATTACAGGTTCTCTGGAAATCGTGTAGGCTATCAAATCTTCCCAATGACTAGGGGTGGATATTGCAGAGAATTTTCATATTGCGATATATTGCGATGCGAAAGCATATATTGCGATATGTATTGCAATATATTGCAAGAAGTCTTTTCAACAAAAAAACTACTTATACTCGAGTTAATGCTTGATTTATAAAGCAAAAACAAAACAAAATCATCATGTTTGATTAAGCTTTAATAAAAACTTTTAATCCTGACAAAATAAAAATATTAATAATATTTGGCACAAATGAAACAAGGCAATATCCGAAGATTTCCGAGTGTTACGAAGTTTTCCGAATGCATGTCAAAATACCGGTTTTCGATCAGCGTATCGCAATACGTATCGTTTTCATGTCTGAACCGGTAAATACCGGTAAACCGGTTATATTGCGCAGCCCTACCAATGACCTTTATCTATAAATCAGTATAGGATATTGATGAGCAAAGTCAAACAGGCAAACTCATGTTCGAGTCCAGTTGGAAGCGGGGAGTTAGCCTAGTTATTAAAGCGTTCGCTGGTCTCGCAGGAGACCCGGTTCGATTCCCATATGGCTACTGTGTGTGAAACCAATTTCTGGTGTCCCCGCCGTGATAAATCGTAAAAGTGGCATAAAACCGAACTCATGCGCTCACGCCACCTGGTGACAGTGACCTGGTTGATTATGTATGGGTGTGTCCCGACGGATTAAAATAGTTATCACTTAAATTATTACTTACAGGCTATCGTTATACGCAGAACTTCGGATTACACGAATACAAATTGTTTTTGAGTGAGTTTGTCTACTAAATAATTATATATCATATTACAGCTAAGTACGTTTCTAACGAACACGCTTTTAACGAACTATTGGATGTAACGAATTGTTTTGGTGCCGGTCTCGTGTTGTACATATTAGCCGATATAGGAATAACGCACTACAATTAATGGTCCCTTTCACTTCGTTATAACCGTTGTATACTGCATTGTCGAGTTTGGCATTCACCACACCACTTCCTACATGAAGGTAAATATGTACCAAGATTCTCAGTTTGGTAAAATAGCGTGTGAACTTGCAAACCTGTCAGTGATTCGATGTTTAAAGATATCCTTTCAACTACCATCTGTCTGAAACAGGAGCGTTTCACTTGAATTACAACAGCTTTTGTAAATAATTACAAGAAAATTACAACAGCATTTCTAAATATTTTCAAGAAAATTACAACAGTATTTCTAAATAATTGCATGAAAATTACGACAGCATTTTAAAATAATTACGAGAAAAATACAACAGCATTTAAAATAATTACAAGAAAATTACAACAATATTTCTACATGTTTGCAAGAAAATTATAACAGCATTTCTAAATAATTACGAGAAAAATACAACAGCATTTCTAAATATTTTCAAGAAAATTACAACAGTATATCTAAATAATTACGCAAAATTAGCAAAAAATTTACGACAGCATTTTAAAATAATTACCAGAAATAATGACAACAACATTTTAAAAAATGATTTCTAAATAAAAATTACAACAGCATTTCCAAATATTTGCAAGAAAATTACAACAGCATTTCTAAATAATTAGGAGAAAATACATACTGCATTTCTGTATAGGTTTCAAGGCCCATTCAGTAAATATACTCATGCTTGTATAATGGTTTCCAGGCCTTCATTTTATCTTCCGGAGCCAGAACGTTTCGTAAATAATTGTGTCTTAAATACTGACCTATACCTGACCAGCAAACCCATTCAGTAATGGTATATATTTTTAAATGATAAGCACATTGCAAAAAATTAAATTTTAAAAAGAATATTTAATTACTTTCAGAAAATGCGGTTTTGCAACAGCTGTCCATAAAGGGTTACTGTTATTAAAAGATAAAAAAAGGAGCTTTTAAAATGTGTAATTGCCTGGGGCTATCCTTCCATCCAGTTGTATTTCGATTTACACGTGTCATTCGACAAATCGATGTGCTTTGATACTGACGTGTGTATGAACGACATGCATATTATCGACACATTCATATATATTTGACTTCGATATAATGATATGATTCCACATGCATTCTTATAGATGAACTAGGGGCTGGGGGTAGCCTAGTGGTTAAAGCGTTAGCTCGTCACGCAGGATACCCGGGTTCGTTTTCCATATGGCTACAATGTGTGAAACCCATTTCTCGTGTCCCCCGCCATATTGCTGGAATATTGCTAAATGCGGCGTCAAGCCATACTAACTCACTCACTCACTCATTATAGGTGTAAATTTTGATATACAAATGTAATTATATTTAAGCAGCGACTTCAATTTACACATCGATACACACATACTTCGACACAAACATATCCCGACAATATTGAGACTTAAAAATTTACCAAACGTTTTTGTGGGGCAGTTTCGCAGACGTCACAGCTGTCGCGCCAATATCGTCATCACGGATGAGGAACTTTATAATACAATATATAATATATACTGATTAGGATTTGTATGTATTGCATATGTAAAACGTCAGGTATGTTTTCATATCATTCCCTCTTGGCTGTTGAGAGGACGCCGGTTCGTCATTAATATGTATGATATCCTGAATGAATAAGGTAGGTTTATACACTATATATCAGATACAACCCCATGAATATTAACTGTTATTTTGTGTAATGGAGCGCTTTGCATCGATATAGCATTTCAAATATGGCGTTAAAGTGAACTCGCGTGCAAATAAACCGATGATATTGTAAAACGGTTTTGGCGGTAACAGCTTTGGAACAAGCAACGTTAGTTTTTTTGTAAGGTCATGGTCAAAGCGTCAGTCCGGAGGGCTGAAGGTCGGGATTCGATCCTTGGGTGCGGCGTAAAACTAAACTCACTCACTTGGCTGTGCCATGCAAAAAGAGGCCATAATATGCATGGTAGTTCGCGTTACCCTGAATGGTGCCAAGCATTAAGGGGAAAAACAAGACGGGCGGCTTGGGTCCGTATACTGTGTTTGAATATGGTAACGATGTTAGCATGGGCTAAAATTCTAAAACTGGCATTAATCGTAAATGCAACGTTAAGATCACATTTCAATCACTTCACCTTACGCTCAAAGTCAAACGGTGAGTGAGTGAGTGGTGGTTAACGCCGCAGTCAATAGTTTCGTATTTTCACAAACTTTTTTCACGTGATTAATTTCAGTATTATTATCTTTTGATTTGGGACTAGACAGGAGACCAGTCTAAAATCAAGTGGCACCAATTACGTCATAATCAAAGGGTGGTAACTCTGGCCTGTTTAGCTCAGAAAACAAAGGCCTCACAATGGCATAACATTTCAGCACTTATAATGAGGGTTATACTTTCATTGTAATAAAAATGAGTGCATATTTTCAAACACTGACATTAACTAATTAAAAATTTCTATTTTGCTTCACATAAGAATAAATGTGACTTTTTCGTGTACACTTCCCCTTTAACGCAGCAGTCAACAGCATTCCTGGGGTAGCATGAACTGACTGACTGAGTTTGGTTTTACGCCGCTTATTATTCCAGCCATGAGGCGGCACGATATTACGAATTGTACCCATGTGGGTCTTCGAACCCTCGGTCTTTTTGACGAGCCAACGCTTCCTAACGCACTAGTCTACCCCACCGCTGCCGGGGTAGCATGGAGGTCTGTAAGTGAGAGTTTGGGTCAGACATGCCATGTAATCACTGAGAAGAGAGGGACGGTTCACTCCATCGTGGTACAAACATACCTTCATTCATCAGACAAATCCCGGGGCGGCGGGGTAGCCTAGTGGTTAAAGCGGCCGCTCGTCATACCGAAGGCCCGAGTTCGATTCCCACATGGTCACAATGTGTGAAGCCCACTTCTAGTGTCCCCCGCCGTGATATTGCTGGAATATTGCTACAAGTGGCGTAAAACTAAACTCACTCACTCACACTCAGACAAGTCCTAGAACACACTGAGCACTGGGATTCCCATCTCGGTCTACTGCGGCGTACTTTAACATTCAACAACTCAAGTTTACGACTACAAAAACAAGCTTGTTCAGCTTGACCTGATCAAGTGAATACTAATGCACTGCGTGACCGTGTCACAAATGGTTGAGTCTATTATTGTGAAGGGGTGCACCTTTGTCAGTTGATTGTCAACATGTCCGAACAGGCGAGACAAGGTCGCCGTTTAACATTCTCTGCTCCCCTATTGAATGAAGTTAACTCGACCTGCCGTTTGCGCGAATTGACCTCGAGGGTCATGCATATGTAGAGTAGCTCAGGTCAAGCTGAACACGCTGTACAAGCTGTACACATAACGTACTTCGACTCCCTCTCGCTCAGATTGACTGTGTATTTCCTGTCATGGAATATAGAGTTGGAAGAGAAGTCGCCCAGCAACTCCATCAACCCAATTAAACAGAACAAAATAATGATTGAATGAAGTGTTGGAATACAAAGCAATATTGCCGTTGTAATTTACCTGTTGTCCTACCTGATTGCATTCACCTTGTGAACGCGATAGGAGGTCATGTGCCATTGAGGGCATGGTCTGTGACGAGGCAGATTGTGTGACATCGTGTGACTTCTTGTCAATGTGGGCTAGAGCGTTGCTTACATCATTTCAGGCACTTGTTTTGTTTCGTCCAGACTCGATTGTTTAAAGCCGGTAGTGATACAGACAGAATACTGCTGACTCTGCATTAAACGATATCCACTCACTCACTACACTGCAGGACATCAGACATTAACGGTTTGTATATATAGTACCCATCAAAGGTTTAGACTCACTTGTGTAAATGTAGCCACTTACTTCAGTCAACTGTTCTAAACTAGATTTTGTAAAATATTCCATACTGTTTAAAGGTACTGTTTACACATGCACTGATGCATTGTAAAAAACATTCGTAACGTTGAAAAGATTATTTTCATGAGTTCAGTAAATGATGAAAATCAGTGAAAATAGGCGAATTCTTAACAAACTTTTACTCCAAAACGCAGCGGTTCACATACACGATATCTGCGCATGCTTTCCAGCAATTTGATGCATGATCCTCGTGCAATTTATCTGCATATGGTTTGTTGTTGGTACCCCCAAGTTAGTAAAGAAATTCATCTTCGAACCATATATATATATATATATATATATATATGTATATATCCATAACATATAGTGAGTACTTTAAGTGAGTCTTTACTTTTGATGGGTAGTATATTTTTGTATTGGTCGGTTATCGCACCACTTTGGAATACTAAAAGTATGAGTAAAAGAGCGAATTTGGGCCAGATAATCCAGTGATTGACATCATGAGCATCTATCCACTCACTTGGGATACGATGACATGCATCAACCGGAACAACAAGCCTGTCCACCCACCCTATTTGGGCAACTGTTACGAAATCTAATCCGGATCTTCACGGGTAAAGAAAAGCAGTGGCGTGGTAAGAGTTATATTCTTACGTGAACTTTTACGGTTTCTCACCAAGTGGATGTAGATGTTGCACACCTTCCTTGCCGTTCCCATCCTTCTGTCCGTCAGCAGGCCCTATTAAATGATACAGAGGCTGCGCAATGCACGTAATCTGGGGCCCGATCCGCAAAGCACGTAATCTGGGGCCCGATCCGCAAAGCACGTAATCTGGGGCCCGATCCGCAAAGCACGTAATCTGGGGCCCGATCCGCAATGCACGTAATCTGGGGCCCGATCCGCAAAGCACGTAATCTGGGGCCCGATCCGCAAAGCACGTAATCTGGGGCCCGATCCGCAAAGCACGTAATCTGGGGCCCGATCCGCAAAGCACGTAATCTGGGGCCCGATCCGCAATGCACGTAATCTGGGGCCCGATCCGCAAAGCACGTAATCTGGGGGATCCCGGGGCCCGATCCGCAAAGCACGTAATCTGGGGCCCGATCCGCAAAGTACGTAATCTGTGGGCCCGATCCGCAAAGCACGTAATCTGGGGCCCGATCCGCAAAGCACGTAATCTGGGGCCCGATCCACAAAGCCTTCGTAGCACTGCGTCATTCGTTATCCTATGATAAACCATATAGTTACGACAGTTCGTAACGCTACGAACGCATTGTGAAACTGGACCACTAGATGTCAGATTTTCATCTGTGGAAGCCACGTTGGCTGAGTGGGTTAGATCGCTGACTTAGTATGCTGGCGATTAAGCGCCTTACTCTGAGAGTGGGGGTTTGAGTCGCGGATCTGACTCAACCGAAAAAGTACTAGAATCTATACTTTATTGCGAAAGTGTAACCCCATATGTAACATATGTTACATTTGATCACGTTGTAAAAGGCACTGCATTTATATATTGATCGACATTGTGTTTCAATACATGTACAGTATTTACAATGCAATTGCTACCGCTGGTTAATACACGTGGCACGCTGTGCTGCTTGTATCGAGTTTAGCTGAACCGGCATCACATACAATGAGACGTCTCTGCAGAGAGAGGTACCTTATCTGAGTAACACATAGGACTTAATGAGATCGGGGATGACCCGAACTTGAATTGGCGTGGATCAGTGTCAGTCGATGCTTGTCACATGCAATCATATGCTTGACTAAAAGATTTGATGGAATATGGTGTCATTTGAATATCCAACCACCTCGAATATAGCAGACACTGATCCAACTGTGGACGTCTTTCAACTTTCCATTTTGCAACAGCACATGACATTTCTTAACTTGACAGGTTATTAATGATTATATTTTGGTCTCTCGATGTGATAAAAATCAGTTGAAAATCAATGGAAGATCTGGGTTAAAAATCGTCTTCAGCAAACCCATGCTTGTCGTAACGGGACTGAATCCGGGCCAGGCTGATTGGTCATTACGAGATCGTATCCTAGTTACGTAGGTCGATACTCGTGATACTCACCATCTACTGTAACTATATCTCAATACAATTTGCGTAACAAGTCTAAGTTGGCTATTCCAAAGTTTCGAACCACAGTTCTTCTAAAGTCATTTATCTATGATTGTGCTTGTTTATGGAATAATCTCACAATAAAATGTACCAATTCATTACCATCATTTATATTCAAATTATCTGAAAAAAATTGATAAAATTCCAAAACTTAGTGTGTTAACACCATTCTGGGCATTGGTTAAAATCTAATAATTGATGATTGGTCCATTACAAACCGATCAATCATCGAAAATAATTGGTTAGCGTACATTTATCAAATGTTCCTGTTATTTTTGTTAATGCACACAAAAAATAAAGAAAAAACATGTAGTAATTTGTTTGTTTTGCAAATTGCATAAAGTCCATTTGCAAATTTTGCATATTTAAATGATGATTAGTATGTTAGGAACACATATTTCCTGGATTCTTTAAGATAAATTCAATCATGACTTGGAACGAGCTTGTACATGTAGTGCTTATGAAATGTAAATTTAATGACACAGACAAAACCAGCCTTGTGAAAAATATTGTTAATGCAAACAAGTGTTCCAAGATTGGTCGTGTTCGATTATGAGAAAACATGTTCGATTGCTTGGTCGTTTAGTCACTGCGACCAATCTTCGATTATTTCAATTAATCGGACCACCACTAGCTGTGTTACATGCGATAAAGCAATGCAGGGCACGAGGAAGGAGCGAGATAACCCAAGCCAGGATAACGTACAGTTGTTTACAACCCAAACACATGTCTTGGTGTAATTTGCAATTATTAATTGTGATATTTACATAGTTTCAAAATATATATCACAAATAATTAATGCCATAATGCGTATGTCATTAATCTGAGAAAGTAAACAATGATAATATACAATTATGGGTGCCTCAATTAAGTCTAAGAACGAATAAACCCTCACTTTGTGATGGCCAAAGGATAAACTGTACTGAGATCACATGACTAAAACGTAAGCCTCAACAAATTTTCTATTGGTGAGATCTCCCCTCTTGTTGATAAGCGTTTATTAAGCGTACAAACTGTATGTCACATTGGATTGTTTCTTAGCACTATCAAAACCCGATAGTTTATCTCTTTGATTCGTTTTATTGCATCGTATTTTGTGTCATATTTCGACCTTATTGCCGAGATCGATGTAGTGTCTACCCAGGGGTTATCAGGATAGCGCTATCGAATGACCACATTTGATTTCAGCGCCATAACATCAATACTTACTTGATTGTTGGTCGTTTAACACATAGCAGTATTCCAGCTATAAGACGGAGGTCTGTAAATAATCGAATCTGGATTGGACGAACCAGTGACTGACATCATGAGCATCGATCCATTCTCAGTTGTGTTACGCAGACATTAATAATAATAATAATAAGGGTACTTATATTGCGCAATACTCCATACCACAAAGGGGCATGCTCACAGCGCGCATTATTCAATCAAGACAGCCAGCTTGCTTATCCGATCCCGTTAGTTGCCTCTTGCGATAGGACTGGCTATCGATATAGACCACAGCGATCGATAATCGTTAACTTAATATCGACAGATTATCGTTAAATATCGGAGACGTATGTTGTGACCTTAAATGTAGAATGGTCTTAAGTGTAGAATAGTCATGAATATTCATCAGTGGGCGGAAATTATATGACCACGTCACACGTGTTTCCTACGCACTGCTTCTCACTTAAACACGGAAGTGCCTCTACTTCTGCTGAGTCGTGTAATACTACAAAATTAATTACTTTTGGGTTATTTAAGTTATAAAAAAATGAAAGCGATTTTCAACTGCCAATCAGTAAACTTAAACCTTCAACCTCATATGCATGTTTTGTTGAGACATTGTGTCAGGCAATGGCAGTCGATGAGGCGTGTTATTTGGACGTGCAGTTCACTTCACTTGTTCTGCGGAAGATAATAGGCCGTGTATGTGACGTAGCACATAAGCTCCTCCCACTGATGAATATTCATGATTATTCTACACTTACGCCCATTCTACATTAAGGTCACAACCGACGTAATTGAGCAAAAAATGCTACAAATATTTGAAATAAATAAATATATTTCACATCACTGGGTAGTGGTGACATGTTTTTGAATGGATTATTAACAAAACAGCGTCCGGAACATAATTTAGAAGTAGACCACGATTCAAGTAGATTTTATGAGAAATGTTTTTGATCACAAAAAAATCATGACGATAGTATCGATAACACAATTTCATATCAATAATCATTTTAAAAAAACTATCGACGCAGTCTAAGTTAACTTAGGCTCAGTATTATTCGTTACACTGCTATACTGAGTCTCAGCAGTGTAACGAATAATACTGAGCCTAAGTTTTCTTAGACTGCCTATC